TAGCTCAGTGCAGCCCTAACGCCGCTGTGGGTAGATGCCCCCTTCACACACGGGTCTGCCACAAAACCCCTTGTCTGCTCCCGCTTCCTCGACACTGCCGCTGCTCACCTCTGTAAGGCCGGCACCGTCTCCACGTTGTGTGCGTACACGTCCAGCCCCGAGAGCGCTACCTTCGCCACAGCTTTCAGGTCCCCCCGAAAATCGGGAGTGAGGCATTCCACCAGGATTTTTGAATTCCTGGAAGGCAGAGGCAAAGAGAACACGCATTTAGCGGATCTGCACCGCTGCTATTAAAATCTCAGCAAAAACCCGAACGTAAATGATGCTCTGATCAGCAAAGTTAGTAAGGGAAGGTAACTCAGGATACAACTCCAACCCAACAGATTTCTGCAAGTACTTGTATTACAATTCAAACAAAACATCATGTGTTTAATTCCTGATTTTACTGTGTCAGCTGAAACAGAATGTAAGCCAAATAATAAACATAAAAGCGATTCCAACAGTCTCTTAAACGAGCACATTCACTAATTATATGTGGTTTTTCATGTGCCTTTGTCGCAGGTTAACTTGAGCTTAACTATCATAGCTCCTAAATACAGAGGAGCTATAATCCTGCCTACTGGGATAAGACACTCTGCGTTATTGCCCTGGCATCTCATCTGTGTCCAGGAGCCAGATTTCAGCTCAAAAAGGCAGGTGTGAAGACTGGAGGAACCTTTGAACTCCAGAGATACACTGGAAAAGGACTGAAATGAGGTTACATGAATTAACTCTGCCAGTAGACAAGTGTGCTATGAACTGGAGCACAGGGCACCCGTGGATGCAGAGTGAAGGCTGCACAGCAGGGGAGGTACAATCACAGACTTAGAAACAGCCACTGTGGGAAAACGCAGAGCACTGACCACTGCTGACAGAGAAACCCAACTGCTTCTGTCATGTGGTGACACTGTCATCTAGATCCACCCTGTCTGAGCCCCAAGCCTCGAGAGTGAACATACCTCAAAAGTATGTACTCATTTCCTGGTAAACCAGCTGCCTCTTCAAATAAATAATCCAGTGCTTAGCTTTAAATAAGCCTGAGCTAAATTGGAATTGCATCTAAATTCAAAATACTCTGTGGCCATTATATAAGAAAGATGAAAAACAGGAAAAAAAAGGGCGCTGGACACAGACAGACTAAAGGCAGACTTCTGTATTTACATGGCCCCTGGAATAATATAGCTAAGGGTAGTTTTGGCCTATATGCAGTACCACATTCTAAAGTTTTAATAATAGTAATAGATTAATGATATACCTTTCTTTCAGATGAGAGACTGTCTTTGCAAAGTGTTCTGCTCCACCGTCAGGCATATCTAGAAGCATTTCAATTACTCAGTTAACCTTTCTGTTCAAGAAATGTATTTACTTATTAGCAAAGCCACCACCACCCTACACATTCACATTTAAATGCAAAATAATGAAGAAGTCAAACCTCAGTCTTCTCTCACCACTTTTGCCAAAGGTTTACAACAGATATTCTACAAAGCCTTGTTCTGTACGAAGTTTAACTGTGGTCATCTAGGGCAGCCTTCAGATGTTTGCTCCCAATGAACCTGTCTTTAGGTTCACTGAGCACAGAATGGCTTTATCTGTTTATGAATTTGGTCTGAGAAACAGTTCTACAAAAAATGGAATATATATATTACTGTTCTTCTACTGTAAACCACTTAGAAGCTACTAATCTTTCCAGCATCCTGAACAGTCTTTATAATGATTTTGCCTGCTTAGATGGCTACTACAACCTTAGAAAAAGACAACTGTCAGACTTGTTATGTGTAATATATTCCAGGTTTAGTTTTTAGAAGGAAGTTCTGGATGGTATTGTATATGCGTGTTTGTGGGTGGGGGTTTTTTTGGCTAATCAATTAACAGAACATGGTGTATAGGTATGTATTGGGGGGGGGGGAGGAATTTTACTATATTCTAAATATTATTGATGTTTAATAACAGTACAACTTCTGTTATATTTTACCAGACATAAAGAAATGCTAAGAATATGTAGAAACTTTCCAAAGTTTCAGCACTATTGACTCCTTTACAACAGTAATGCTCAACAATGGTGCTGAGTGATAGATGTTTAGTGAGGTCTGTATTTACCCCACGTAACATACATGGGAGCTTAGACTGGAAGAGGTGAGAGACAAGGTACTAACCATCCCTGTCCACAGACGTCAAGACAACGTAGTCCAAGCCCCACTCAGCTATGGCCTTTGCTGTGTTGTAAGGCTCCTCGGGATCCAGGGGAGGTGGATTTTTTGCTGTCTTCACTGAACAGAATCTGCAACCTCTAGTGCACGTGTCACCCATCAGCTGAAATGAGAATGATATTCCTGCCTTTATAGTGTACACATTGCTACTGCCCAGCTGAGAAACAGAAACCAGTACTAAGCAAAGCAACTAGGTCAGTGCTTTACTCTAAATTTCTTGTAATAACCCCACTCCACTCCAGCAGAGATCCAACAACATGCTACAACAGCCCAAACATTAATAGAATACTTAATAAATGGTTAATGACGTACCATAATAGTAGCTGTAGCTGTAGCATATTCACCACCTCCCCAGCATTCTCCAATGTTGGGACAACGTGCTTCTTCACATACCTAAAGGTAAAAGACAATAATGTACCTATTTTCCACATTATTATGGAAAATTATTATTATGGAAAATTATTATTACATTATTGACCAATTTCAATAGTAACTTACAAAGAAAACATAATTCCTTCTGTGATAAATGTGGAGATTAACGGTTACATGTTGTTCTTTTAAAAGTCAGTAAAAAAGACAGGAAAAGTCTCATGACATCCATTATCATTCTTTTCCTCTACTTCACAATCCCAAAAACTCCTCCACCATGTAACTGCCTTATTAATTAGCATGGATTGTCATTACCATTCATCTTACTCTGAAATAAAGAAGGAAAAAAACTCTCCATGCATTTTTTACCCACCATTCCGTAGCATCTAGAAGGTATATTGAATGAAATACATTTCTAGAATTTCTTTTCATACAAAATATGTATGTAACTCTGAAATTGTATATGCTTCCACTAAAATCATTCACACATATCATCTTCTGATCTCTCTGGTGATGGAAATAGTAAACAATAGTATTTCAAATTATAGCAGGAAAACCATTAAATACTCTGGATTTGTCTTCATTCTGTATGTGTAAAATTTACAGCCAACAAAAACTATCAGCTTTGGGCTAGGGTTCAGTCTTGAGATCATGCAAGACATCATTTCTACCTGTCCTCCACATGGAAATAATTTATATCTGTAAAAAATGCCTTATTTCTACAGGAAAACTTGGTTGGCACTAGATTTACCGTATGGAGATTTAAACTTCTCAAGGTATTCTTTAGTTTATTGTAGTTCTTTCCCATCGGAATCTCTGTTTTCAGCCATGGAGGAAGTCGCAGCCTGAATAACATCAAGGAAACATAAAGATTAATAGAACATATACATGGTAAGCTTCCATTAATTTCATAGATCCACTTTAATTTGTTACAGATCCCAACTAGGAAAGGTTCCTTGAACCTTTCAAACCCACCTCAAAACCCAGTTTTAACATCATCCGTGGTCATAACAGCCTTCTCTCTTCTATAATGATCATCATCCCAACATTCAAGAGTAGGAGTTTGTTGTCATTGGAAGGCTTTAAACTGTACCAGCGGGATTTAACAGTGCCACACTGGAGACTGCAATAATTAATGGCAGCAGTCACAAAGTCTGATGAAGTTTATAACTAGAAATACTAGGGGGTTAAGCACTTATAAGGCCTTAAAGCAGCCTGCCTGCAAGACCTTAGAGCAGCCTTCCAGTACCTAAAGAGGCCCTACAAGAAATCTGGAAGGGTGCGCTTCTTACAGGGGCATGTAGTGGTAGGACAAGGTGTAATTGCCTTAAACTAAAAGAGGGCAGATTTAGATGAGCTCGTAGGCAGAAGTTCTTCCCTGTGAGGGTGCTGAGGCACTGGCGCAGGGTGCCCAGAGAAGCTGTGGCTGCCCCATCCCTGGCAGTGTTCAAGGCCAGGTTGGACACAGGGGCTTGGAGAAACCTGCTCTAGTGGAAGGTGTCTCTGCCCACAGAGGGAGTTGGAACTGGGTGAGCTTTAAGGTCCTTTCCAATACAAACTGTTCTGTGATTCCATGATTTTTTAATTTAGCTTTCATTTTTTGTTTTACTGTATCAATAATATTTTTTCAACACCAGAGTAGGGTACACACACCTACTGATGTATATTTGTAATTTAATACAGGCCATGGCATGGGCACTCAAGTGAGAAAATACCACTGTGTCTTAGTGTTTTGTTAAGCATTTGAAGTTAATAATATGTTTGTTCTTTCTTGAAAAATCATGAGATTTGCAACTCAGCATGACAAAACTTAGTAACACCACCTTGTACACGTTTTGCAGTTAATACTAAACATGCAGGACAGTGCATGGAAGCAACTACAGTTGTTTAAAATCACAATTACCTTTCTCCTTTCTGACGCTTTAAGTTGCCTTTATACTCGGCCCATGCGCTCTTGTCTGACAGATCTCCGGATACAAAGTCTTGTAGGTCTGGTCCGCTTCGCAGAAGCTCCTTTTTTTCCTCTGTCAAAACACCTGATGTTGTGTACTGGTTACACACATGGCTCCCAGACACCTAAAGAAAAGCAACACTGTGATTTATTACATTATAAATGCCCTGGAAATCTATACTAAGTAACTACTTGTGCTTTTGGTGGTAATGTACACTTTGTGTAAGCATTTTCCCAGTAGACTTTGAGTTAATTCTCTTTTTAAGTCATGTGAAACAGACATAGCACATGATCTCTTCCAAAATGCAGAATCACTGAACAGTTTGGGTTGAAAGGCGCCTTCAAAGGTCATCTAGTCCAACCCCCCTGCAGTGAGCAGGGACATCTTCAACTAGCTCAGGTTGCCCAGAACCACATCCAGCCTGGCCTGGAATGTCTCCACAGATGGGGCATCCACCACCTCTCTGGGCAACCTGTGCTAGGGTTTCACCAGCCTCGTTGTAAAGAATTTTTTCCTCACATCCAGCCTGAATCTCCCCTCTTTTAGTTTAAAACCATTACCCCTCATCCTGTCCTAACATCAAACCAAGGTTTTGGATATAAATAAAACTGTTTGGACTAATACAAGATTTCAGGGCTCTAAAACAAGACGTCGAGATGATTATCTGTGCGCTGCCAGGTCAGTACCCGATTCTGACGGTACCGCAGCCTAACTCGGTTCTCAGAACCTGGATCCGAAGCAGACGGGATCACGGCTCAGTTTCCCGGGTGCCTCTGTGTCCATCAGTCTCTGTGTGCCTCTGCCTCTGTGCGAGTCT